TTAAATTCTTCTTGGATTCTGCTTTTTTTCATTACATATTGAGCATCTCCAGAAGGAAGAAATTTCTGTTATGGCATTGCTGACCTTTCCATCAATCATTGTTAAGCTTAGCTGATATGATACGTTAATAGAGAATTCCTTTATTTTTATGCAAATGGGTTCCAGTGCATTTATTTCATCTTTTAAATATTCCACTAAATCTTTTGTTGTTTTCTTTGACTCCTTTATATATTCAAATCCAATGGGTCTACAAAAATTTTTTGAACCCGGAGTTGTATTGATCCATATATCTTCAAATGAATTTCCGATGCTTGACTAAGGGAATATGAACGAATTCGTAATGGCACTAATGATGACATAAATACACTTTTGTAGTCAGCTAATGTCCGACTTCCACAAGCTTGTTTGTATTCTGGAAGTGCTGATAAACTGTCACATCCCCACTTACACATTAAGACAACATCACAGTTATGAATTTTCCTTAGTTGGTCTTCTGAAAAGTCTGACACAATTCTTGATGCTGTGTTTTCGAGCAAAGATGATATATCAATACAAGCTTCCACATCATTAACAGCAATAGGTGATGGTAGGATAGTTTGTTTTTTTTCCTGGATCGCCTTGTATGATGGTAATATATTGTGTCCTTTTTCATGCAGAGCTTTCCTTAATATTTGGTACTTATTTCGACTGAGACCCAGTTCCAACATAAGCGCTATTGCTTCCTCTTCAGTAAAATTTGATTGTGATGTTGGAGTTGGTATACTTTCCACAATTCGCTTAAGTCGTTTTGGTGATGCATTAGGAAGAATAGTTGCAATATGTACGGCATCCATAGGTTGGTTTTCCTTTTTCAGCATTTCGTTAAATGTATCAGCAATTTCCTCATTTGAGATTGAAAAAAGTTTTTGTGTGAACCTCTTTTTTTTTTTGGCCTTGAACATAAGTCTTCGTATGACTTGCAAGGCGCTCCTGTTGATGTGTTGTAAGTTGAGATTTCCGTAGTAGTTTCCATCCAACTACAAAATTTTAATCGAAATTTCTTTTGATTTCCATCCACAGACTTACTTTTTACATCAAAAAGTTTTAAAAAGTTTTCAATTTTTGATATGCCTGTTTTGTCTACTTTTATACTATATGTAGTTTTTATATAATTTGAAATGTCTTCAATTCTTTCTGGCCCTTTTGAAGATACACTCCATAAAACGGAACACAACTCTTCGTACTTTAATGTAATCTTCATTGTAGATTTATTAAATATGGTACTTAAAATCTGAGAAGTTTACTTATATACCAATTCTTGTCATTTCCGATCCAGGTATTCCAAGGTAAAAAATTACGAATTGTCTACCTATTAACATTTAGGACTATATTACTATAACCTGTAATTCAGTCATTGATATTTCTTATTAGTGAATGAATCGAAATTATTATTACCTGTATCTTTTTACCTACATGATCATAAACGAAACAGAACGAAATGATCTATCGAAAAATTTAGGTAAAAAATAGTTATAAATTTCTGAAAATTTAACCATAATAGGACCTTTCAATTATAAGGATAAGCAGACAAATAGAAAATAGGTAAATATAAGATTTAAATATGTTCTGTCATATTTAATACTAAAATATGAAATTAAAGGATACAGGTTTAAATGAACATATTTTTGAATGTAATTGAGATATTGGCTTGAAAATTTTTGTAAAGGGTCGAGAATTTCCATATCTAACTAAAAAAAGATATTAAGGGATAAATATGGACTAAATTGTTGTAGCTATCTGCGACCCTATTAAAATTTTGATATAAATCATAGTTTTAGAAATTAAACAAATATGTAATATATGACAAAATCTTTATTTATGAACAAAACTCAATGAAATTTTCAACGCTTGTTAAATTTGTCATTTCATATAAGAACATTTGAATGGCAACATTTTCAAAAAATAGGACAAGTTTTTTACGCCAAAGCGTTCTCCGTAAAGATACCTTTTAGAAAACTATAAAATTGTTATATGTTCTTAAAGAAAATTTTATTTTATTAATAAAAGAGTTAAGACACATTTTTGGCAAAAAAAACGCCAAAAATCTAAAATTGTTTGAATTTTTAAATTAAAAAACGTATATTTTTGGATCTGTAAATGATATTGATCTGAAATTTTTTGTATATTATTGGAAATTGTTGTCTAACTAACAAGAAAAAATTGAGTCCATTTGGTCCAAAATTGCGCCCGGTATTCAAAAAAAGGCGAACCAAGGTATGGTAAATTTTGTATCACTAAATTTTTAAATGCCTATAAATCGGATATTATAAGAGATAAGTAGTATGTCCAAGCATGTTTTTTCAAGATCTCGGCGAGCGCTTTCAGAAAATATAAAAACCTTTGTATTTGGGTGAAAAACAAACAAAAAATGGCACGAGTTTAAAAATTTTACATGTCGTAGGTACCCTACTTTGAGCCGCCACAGCGCCGTCACGGGGCATCTGCGGGGCATCTGCGGGGTTCATCTTCTAAACTTAAACTCGAATACTACTTGGCTACGCTCACGCCAAATTTTATTCCGATCGGATCAGCCGTTTAGAAATGCCAGATTTATTTCCAAAAAATTTCGATTCTGCCCCACTGTGTGATGCTGTGGTCTTAAATATTTTAGTGTCTTTTTCGAGGCTTGTTGTAACAGCCCTTCCAATCGGCACCTTCCCAATTTTGAATATGATAGCTTTAGAGGCGAAGTAAGCCCTATCTTTATTCTTGGCAAGACTAGCTATAGATTTCTGGTCGATACCTATTACAAATATAGTTCCCTCAGGTTCTTCTTTACTGTAAAAGACATCCTATTTTTCCATGGCCAGCTCAGCATTTTGACCAAAAAGAATTTCCAGTATACGTTCATTAGCCAGTTTACTGCCCCATCCTTTTATGTAGACAGTGGACTTTAAGATCACCGGAAGCTCGCACTTCTTTGTCAGTCCCAGCTTAGCGCCGTCCCAGGGAGGAGGGATACTTTCCACCAAGTTCTTTAGCGTGCTAAAACATTGGTGAGATGCCAACCTCATCAACATCACGCCCATGCTGAACTCGCAGCTAACGCTCTCTATTGGTTGTTTGCCCTTTGAAGCGATTGCATGGTCCACTATCTTATTGTTCACCAGATCTTCTACCTTATTCTGTTGGTCTACTGGAATTTTGCCTGTCGGATTACCGGCATCGTAAAGTGCATAGCAGAGATCGTCCCGGTGTCTTCTTCTGGCAATTTTGGAGTAAGATGGCGGCACTTTTCGTTTTCCACTGTCTAGCCTCTCTTTCCTCGCTTTTCGGGGCTTCTTTTGAGATACCCGTACCTTCGAGGTTGAATTCTCCGACGTGATCGTCTTCGGAATATCTATCATGGCGTTGTCACCCTTACTCTCAGGATTCTGACTTGAGGTTCCTTTGAGTGAAGTATGGCTTGGCTGTGTATTAGAAGACGGGGAGCTCTTTTTCTTCTTAGGTTTATTCTCAGTTGCCTCATATCTTGTGAGAGAGTCCAATTTTTCCTTTGGAGTGTCGTTGGATTGACTAACTGTGATTTTCTGAAGCATCTTTTTCAACTTCCTCCTCTGTGCGCCAGATAGTCTTTTCTTAGTAATAGGTAGTTTAGCTATGCTATCACTCACCTGTTTCACCATTTGCTCTACTTCATCCTTTTTGGGATTTGCTATAATGGTGTTTTGATAAATAAAGCTATTGTGATAAAATTCGAGCAGAATAACTTGAGTATGTTTTGTGTACATATAAATCATTCGACCAATTTGTTCCCGGATTGATCCATTATTGGTCATAGCTCACATATAAGGCCCACTTTCGAAAATCATTTAAACTCACATATTTCATTGTCAAATAAAGCTATTTCGATAAAATTCGACACAAATATGTTTTGTCTATATATCAATCACTCTCCGGATTGGCCCGTAATTAATCATAGCTCCCATATAAGGTCCACTTCCTAAAATCACTTAAACGCATATATTTCTTTGAATAATAAAGCTATCGGGATAAAGTACGAATATGTTTTGTGTGCATATAAATTATTCTACCAAATTTTTTCCGGATCGGTATATAATTGGTAATAGCTCCCACATAATCACTTAAAAACACATATTTCATTATCAAATAAAGCTATCTTGATAAAATTCGACACAAATATGTTTTATGTACATAGTACATATGAATTACTCTACGAAATTTTTCTGGAGAGGTCCGTAATTGGTCATAGCTTCTATATAAAGTCCACTTCTGAAAATCACTTAAACCCACATATTTCATTAATTAATAAAACTATTGTAGTAAAATTCGACTTGATTTTTTTGCATATAAATCATTATATGAAGTTTTTTCCTGATCGATCCATAATTGGTCACAACTCCCATTTCCGAAAATTACTTAAACGCACTTTGACAATCAAAGTTATAGGGATAAAATTCGACATAAATGTGTATTTTGTATATATAAATCGTTATACGGAATTTTACGAAAATCACTTAATACCACTTAATTCATTATTAAATGATTATATCCAGATAAAATTCAACATGAGTATGTTCTGTGTATAGATAAATCATTATATTAAAACGCTTTCGAACTGGCCTATTAATATACATTTTTCTGGACCTAATCAAAATTAGTTTTACATAAGCACTACTCACTACGGAAAAAAATTTGTCAAGTTATCTAAAAAAATATTATAGTTAAATGGGTTTTAATAAAAAGTAGTGTTTAATTTATTGTATACAAATATAGGAATCTTACTTGTTTTATTTTTTAAATTAACCTAAAAAAATTAAATTTTATGTGTAAAACTAGTCCATTCAACAAGGAATACGTTGTAATATTACTAATGGTCATATCTATCATGTCTCTCTTAGTATAATATTTCTCATGTAAAATTTAACCAGTAATCGTCGACTACTGGAACATATGCGTGAAATTCTAAGATTAAAACGTTGTGTTCTTCTTTATTCCAGTTGTTGATTTCTTTAATCGCATAAATCTTATATACGGAACAGTTTCGGAATATTGTAATGAAAATACTTGCCCAACTATGTGCGGAGGATCGCGGTATGAATATTTATGGGCGGACGGCGAAAGGTGAGTACTTTCAGAAAATTTTTCATTATACATCTAAATTTTTTATTTTTGAGAAATAATTTAACCGATGCACTGTTAATTGATTTAAATAAAAATGAGTTTTGAATAAATTTCGTATAATTCCTTCATATTTAATAATAATTGTTTTCATATTCCTTTTTTATTATATCTTTATTTCTATCAACTAACAATAAGTACTTCCTATCTTAATTCTAACAACTATTAAGTCCAGACTTCGCCTAAACATTTTCACTAATAAATAGTTGAAAAGAGTATGGAGGCTAGAGTGATTCAAGCTTGTATGAAGGAAAAAAAAATTGTCTGACATGCCGTCCCGCCCTCTAGAATTGTTCTATGGGTTGTAAAGCTATGTCATACAAAAAATTAGGGTGATTGGATAACGTTAACAGGTGCCGCAACGGCTCTGAAGTTTTCAAGTGCATTTACAAGGGGAAAATATCGATTTTTTCAGTTTTTGCTCAAATTTGGCCATTTAGTAATAAATTTTGAACTTTATTGTTAAGGAATCGTAATGTGCATAGAGTAAGCATTTTGGGAAATATATAAAACACAAAAATTGATTGAAAACTTTAAAAGTTATTGCAAATTCCCTAGGCCATTAACGTGTCTCACAGCACATGAATTCGAAATGTGACAAAAAAATTTACTTTTTTAGGAATATATTCTAACAAAAACATTATGTTACTTAAAATATATCTATAATTACTCGAATATTATAACCTTATAAGATAACGTTAACTCGTTCTCAGTTATGGTCAAAAAAGTTTGATTTTTTTAACGGCCGTTTCAAATCTCCAATTTCAGTTTTTCTGAATATTTGTTAAACAAATTTCAAAATTTTTAGGAGATCTCATGGGGATTTATGGTCAATAGATAAGGCTATTAAACGGTAAAATAATTTGATCAATAATTCTTACAGTTTAGCTGTACCTGCGATTTGAACTCGGCGGATTTCGGGAAAATCGCATTTTTTTGTAATATTTTAGAGAATACGTATTAATTCTTTACTGTTGCACATTTGAAATAAAGTATTATCAGAGTATTATAGTCTAGGTAATACAAAATATATATCCGAAGTTTTATTAAAATCGGTCATTCTTAACCCATACACTGTGAAGTTCAAAGGTCAAATTTTGCAATATTTGGAAATTCTTAGTGTACAATATCGAAATAATATTTATTTGTAGGCCATCTTTACCAAAAATGACTGAATTTATCGTATATAGTCCAATATTTAAAATAAAGTGAAACAAGTAAGAGTGTTATATTCGGCTATGCCGAATCTTATATACCCACCATTAAACCTCGTTTGACTCGAATGAAACTTACTTATGTCGAATTTCATCTATATACTCGTATATTTAGGCCAGTTATAAGCGTTAAAGTAATTTTCTGAAGGGGACCTTATATGGGGGGTAGGGTCAATTATGGGTCGATCCTCATAAAATTTGGTAGACAGAATTTGGTTCGTATTAAATTTATTTGTGTCGAATTTCGTCGCTACACTCGTATTTTTAAGCCATTAATGAGCGTTGCAGTCATTTTCTGAAGGGGACCTTATATGGGGGTAGGGTCAATCATGGACCGATCAACATATAAACAAGTTATGGCTGTTAAAGCTTCTCTTCGAGGGGCCACTTGTATGGGGGCTATCCGAAAACGTGGACCGATATTGCCCATTTTCAATACCAAACAAACCTTACCTATAAGAAATATTTATGTGAAATTTCAACCCTCTAGCTCTTTCCATTGGGACTCTATCGTGCTTTCAACAGACAGACAGACGGACGGACATGGCTAGATCGTCTTAGAATTTAATGAGGACCCAGAATATATATACTTTTGTGTGTCTATGACCAATATTTGGATGTGTTACAAACGGAATGACAAAATCAATATACCACCCATCTTTTTTGATGGTGGGTATAAAAAGAGAAAAGCCTCATGGAAACAATTTAACACCAAAGTTCAAAAATTCGAAAAAACACTCTCTATTTGAATAATGTTCTATATAATTAAGGGAATAACAGAAATAAAACAAAAAATTCTATATTAAGTATAAAAACTTGTGAAATAATCCTTTTTGACCATATAAAGTTTGTATTTTTAGACATATTAGATTTGAAAATCGACCGTAAGAAAGGATTACGTAAATTATCAGTTTTAAAAACAAAATTTTTCTTTTAAAAATGTGCACCTCAAGTTACTCCATAGTCAAAAAGGGTTAAATTATAATTTTTATACTTAATATAGAATTTTTTGTTTTATTTCTGTTATTCCTCTAATTATATAGAGCATTATTCAAATATATAGTGTTTTTTCGAATTTTTGAACTTTGGAGTTAAATTATTACCAAGTGCCTTAAAGGGTTAATCTACATTTTTTCACTCTATTTTAAATATCGGACTATATACGATAAATTGCAGTCATTTTTGGTAAAGATGGCCTACAAATAAATATTATTTCGATATGGTACACTAAGAATTCCAAAATATTGCAAAATTTGACCTTTGAAATTCACAGTTTATGGGTTAAGAATGTCCGATTTTAATAAAACTTCGGATATAAATTTTGTATTATCTGGACTATAATACTCTGATAATACTTTATTTCAAATGTGCAACAGTAAAGAATTAATACGTATTCTCTAAAATATTACAAAAAAATGCGATTTTCCCGAAATCCGCCGAGTTCAAATCGCAGGTACAGCTAAACTGTAAGAATTATTGATCAAATTTTTTTACCGTTTAATAGCCTTATCTATTGACCATAAATCCCCATGAGATCTCCTAAAAATTTTGAAGTTTGTTTAACAAATATTCAGAAAAACTGAAATTGGAGATTTGAAACGGCCGTTAAAAAAATCAAACCGTAACTGAGAGCGAGTTAGCGTTATCTTATAAGAGCAAAAACTAATATTCGAGTAATTATAGATATATTTTAAGTAACAAAATGGTTTTTTAGAACATATCCCAAATAAACTAAATTTTTTGTCACATTTCGAATTCATGTGCTGTGGGACACGTTAATGGCCTGGGGAATTTGCAATAACTTTTAAAGTTTTCAAGCAATCAATTTTTGTGTTTTATATCTTTCCGAAATGCTTACTCTGTGCACATTACGATTCCTTAACAATAAAGTTCCTTAACAATAACGTTATCCAATCAGCCTAATTTTTTGTATGAATAGTTTTACAACTTATAGAACAATTCTAGAGGGGACGGGCAAAATTCGCAACTTCGTTTTTTTGGAGCACTCTAATGGAGGCCAGTCCAAAATTTTACAATCCGGTTTCGAATCCATACTTTTACAGCCATTGCGGTATGGAATGGAGAATTATGTTTTTGAAATATGCGCGGCAAGGGTTCAAAGTTATCCGAAAATGTGAAGAAAGCAGTTTCCAGCATGGCATTGCAATTCTTACTAGATATATAAAATTGAAGCTCACTTCTTTCAGCTCTTTCTTTCAAAAATCATAAAAATAATGATTATATCGATCTGGACCTTCTAAATTAAACCTTTTTTAATCCGAAAAACAGGTTGTTGCTATTGGTTTTTATAACCATGAGTTCACGTGCAAACTGAAGAGGTATTTTTATAGGAGTGGCAATTGGAGTGCCTTTTATTCTCTAAAATATTACAAAGTCTTAGTCCTTCTACAATACGTTTTACTGCAGCTAGACTTGCTGTAACACGAAATTTTTCTTAAATTTTTGCAGCAGAATCACTTGACTTATTTTATGAAATCTTTTCTGACCGCTTTTGTTATGTACGTCCATTAATTTTTTCTGATTATCCAGACTGCTTTCTTTATAAAATTGCGAGTCTGAATTTGCCCAATTTTTTTTAGCCAAACTCCTGTGATTTTCGACAGTTTCCAAAAACTCTTAAATTTTATAATTTTATTCGTTAGTTAATAGCTTACGGCTATAGACGTCGAGCACGGTCGCTCGTAAATGCAAATGACATCTATAGACGTGTTTTTCCAATATTGATATCACTATAAAATTTGTAAACGTTAGGAGTTAACGTGTAAAATTATACAAGTTAATTTTAACTTCGATAAAAGTGCTACCAAATTAAGAATAAAAATACAAATATGAATAAAATTTAAATTACAAAAATAAACAAATCAACAAACATTTTCAAGAAATCGTAAATAATTTCAAGATTTAGCTGATTTTTACTGTGAGGTGATGCCAAATCAGGTAATGTTCGTTTTGTTGCTAACTTTGGTTAACATTCAATAATAGCAATAAAACACAGCAAATATTTTAACCATGAAATAATATGGTTTTATTATATCAACAACATTTTTAATTAAATTTTATATTCGGACTGTACTCGTGAAATTTAACAAAGTACTCAAATTTTTCAAAAATTAAGTGTGCGTAAACGAGTTAAATATATTGTGACACTAGAATATGAATGAATTTTACCCACTGCCAGCAGTAAACTGATTTTATTCTGAATGAACCTAATAAAGTGATTTAATAAAAAAAAAATAGCTCAAAAACGTAGAAAAAAATATTAAAAATCAGCTAATTTGCGCTAATTCTTGTCTTACTAGTAGGGATGCCAAACGGGACTGGCTTTTACAAATCCCGGGATTCGGGATTTTGAAAATTCCGAAATCCCGTAAAATACCGGTATTTTACGGGATTTCGGGATTACATAAATTTAATTATTTTATACATGAAAATCTGAAATCTTCATGTTTGTGAAGAAAATTGTTTAATCTTGTGAAAATTAATTGACAGAAGATAAATTATTTATTTTTCATAAAAAAATTGTTGAATTTTTCCTTAATTCCGATGTATTTAAGCAATTTATTGATGAAAAACTAAATTTCTAAAAGAGGCTTTATATGGGAGCTAGGGTCAAATATGGGCCGATCCTCAAACATTTGGGAAGAGGCATGTAATTTTATATAAAGGTTAGTTATGCTGAATGTCATCGCGATACTAATGGTTATAAGT